CTTAAACAAAAAAAAAAAACCCCCACACTTACCAGCTGCTGCAGTGGTTGTCAGAGCTTCTGGGGGCTCGTGGCAGAGCCCTCCATGCAGCATGGGGAAGTAGGGTGCAGCAAGGGTGTAGTGGGTGCAGCCCCCCCCCCCCCCCACCTGGCAGGAGCCAGTAAGTATGGGGCTTTTAAGAGCTGGGACTCTGGGGATGGAAAGGCGGGTGGGGGATGGGGCCTGTTTGATTCAGTTTTGGCTGATTTGGTGGTGGTCGAATCTCTGAATCAGATTCGGCCGAATCAATTTGAGACAATAACTCAAATCACAGAATTGAATCACTGTCACCTGAACCGGCCAAATCTGAAGTGAATACTAGTCACTTTGCACAGGCCTGCTTAGTGCCACTGCTGCAAGCCCTGCACCACCATGGCAAGATGCATCTTGCTCTTTGACAGCAGCTGGGGGCACAACTCCACACTGCCACCCCTGCTGCTGCTAGGTGGGCAGGTGGCACCTTGCCATGGCAGTGCAGGGCTCCTGGTGGCATGGGGCTTATGGCGGTGCCACTGAGCCTCCCTGGTCCGCTCTGACATGCCAGGTTCCACGTGCTGCACTGCGGAGGCCCTGTGGGGAGGGCAGCAGGGCAGTGAGCCCCAAACTTGCAGCCACCAGCCCGCATCTGCCCCCGCCCTGTGCACAGCTCTTGGTGGCACGTGCCCCCCGTGCTCCCACCAAGAGTGTGCGCAACAGGGGAGAGCCTGCCCAATGCCCCCCCACTGCCTCGTGGCTATGTTCCACTCCCCAGCCAGGCCCTGTAGCCACACATTCTGGGCCACCCTCCTCCTGCTCCCTCTAGCCTTTGCAGGCTGGAACACTGCCGGCCTGCAAATGCAAACCTGCTGTTTCCCACATTTTTATCCTTTAAAAGAGAAAATTGGGGTTTTTCTCCTAAACATTAGAAAACGCAGGTTCTATCACATTTTTCTGTGGTGAACAGAAAACCCAGATCCCTAGTTACTAGATAACTATGTATATATCAAACTAGATAT